GGGATGCAGGCAGCAGTGCTGTGGCCACACCCTGCCAGCACTGCCTGGGATTAGGCAGTCAAACCAGGCAGCACTGTCCAAAAATGCACATTTCCCACCTACCCCTTTAGAGACATAATTTCCAGGTCTGTGACTCAGTTACACCTCAAGCACTGAATGCAGTTTATCTTGAATTTGCAGAATAGTCTCTATGAAGGAAAAAAAGAATGGAAATATTTTCTTGTGATTTTTGCCTGGAGATATTTAAGGTGCTCAGAGAAATGAAATATTGCCAATGAGGGGTTAGTGGGCAGAAGCAGGAGAGAGGTCAGGCTCATGGGCACAGCAGCTTCCAGCTTGTCACACACCTATTGCTGGAGATGTCAGACAGAATTGCAGGGCTCACCTCCAAAAGTTCTAGAAGCTGAAAAATGTCTTTTGGTGTTACATTTATAACCCTGCTTCAATCCACCAGAACCAGCTGGGACTTCAGCCACCCAACCTCACTACCTGCTCTCCTGCATCAGAAGCCAAGTGTGTGAAAATGAACAAATTATTACACTCAGTTTTAGCTGTCAATGACAGAAGAACGTAAATATTAGCTGATCTATAACATAGTTGAGCATGGACATAAGTGATCAAAATCTTGAGATTCTCTCATCAGGAAAAAAGTGTCATCAGCTGATCAGAGATCATTTAATTTCATGCACCGTGTGTGTAAGCAAAGGCCTACCCAAAACTGGTTTCATACACTTGTGAGATATTTTGCTGTGAGTCAAATGCTTTGAAATGTCACATATTCCTTATTATATTTTAAATTGTTATTTTTAAGCACCCAAATATTTTTTAGCTTCATGGACTCTACCACAGTTTTATGAAACAAAGTCAATTGGCAAACTGATCTTATCACATGCCATTGTACAAATTTTCTTCCACATACATCTCCCTTCAAAAATGAATCTGTCTTTTTTGGAGTACAGGTCACAATTCAGATAGATTATAAACATTTAATAAACTATGAAATGAATATACCTTTTTCTCATCTGTACATCTCCACTCCTAAGTGTAACATCAGATTCATCACTTTTGACTGAATTCAGGTTTAGGGCTTCCTTCATGGAACTCTGCTTTGCTCATCCATTCAGAAAGATTATAGAAAAGGATGAGTCTACCTTGGGACACTGAAGTTCAAATAAAAAGTCTACATAAAAATGCAGATTTTGATGTACAACATGTACATTTTATAGGTGATTCCTCCTTCAATTTTATCATAAAGAACTTTTAAAAGCCTTTATCTCAAAAATACCCAAAAGACCACACAAAAAACCCCAAACACAACCACACCATCACATGATATTTGCAAAGCATCACTTTATTCATTCTTCTACCTGTGTGCCCCTCCCTTGCCTTTTCTGGTTTCTCTTACCACTGCAAGTGGGAGTCAAGGATGTTAATTCTGTGCTTAACAGTGTCTAGGACAAGGTGGGAAATCTTCTTTTTATGTGCTCCCAAGCTCTACTGTATTTACAGCCACAACTGCACAGTCAGTTTCAGAGGCTGGGGACAAAAAGGTTAAAAGCAGACTGACAAAACACAGAACAGGAAATTACAGCAAGGAAATCAGTGGGGTTGATTTTAACAGATGTGAATAGTCAAAACTTCATAAAGCAAACATGATAAAGCAACCTGGAGTGCAAATATCTCACAATTGCTAAACATCAATGATGAATGATTAACTATATCTTTATTAGATGTGCACATGTGTGAGCCTTCTTCTGGGGACTCCTTTATCTTCCTCAGGACTCATCAGGAACTAAGAAGCTATTGCTTTTAAATCACAGAGGCAGATGAATTACTAATTAGTGCAAGAAGAAGCAGCAGCAGAAGAAGCAGCTGTGACTATTGCTCCAGATATCAGCAATAGCTGCAAAGGGAATGTCAGGATGTCATTTCTGGATTGCTGTTTCTCATCACTGTCTGCCAGAAGCCCAAAGTTTTGGTTAATGGCTTATGAAGAGAGGGCTGGAGGAAGGCCTTACCTGGCCACATACCCCTGACCTATCCTCAGCTTGCTCAGGAGCAACACCAAACAGCAGCATCAAGATGGAAAAAATCACAAAGCACTTTATAGACAGATATTTAATCTGCTAGCCTTCCCTTGAGTCCTTGCTTTCTCCTCCAGCTCAGGCTCCAGTTCCGTGGAACAAACAGGAAAACAAGAACATGTGCCCCCAGTGCACGACAGCTCTGTGTGCCACAGGGAGGGACCCAACTCATCACCTGCCCTATCTACAGCCCTCCCTGGCTCCAGCTATCCCCACAGCATCCCTACAAATCCCCCCACCACCATGCCACAGAGCTGGACTTCAACAGCAGCAGGTTTATGGAGTAGGCTGGCTGGGCATCACCTCTTTTTGGTTTTCCAGGCCACTCACAAGCATTGCCTCCTGTATGACATGAGAAAAGGGTAGGATAAAAGGGAATTTTCTGCCAATATTCTTCCACCATGGGAATAAAGTGTGCAATAAAGTGGGACCAGCCCTGAGACCAAGCTGAAAGCTAATGAACATGGTATTTGTGCCAGTGAAGTCAAAAAAATGGGGCAGATTTCAGAGCAGCAGGGCAGACCTCAGCTGGCTTATACTACTGCCCTGTCTCAATTACCTTGGTTTTCTTCATTTTCCCTGTTCATATCCTTAGATGTGTCTTTGTCCCCAAAGAGGCTTTTTAAAATTGCATTTGCAATTGGAAGCATCATAGCAGTGGAGGCAGTATTACTTAACCACATGGACAGGAAAGACGTTGTCAACATCATCCCTAAGATTAGTCTGAAAGAGAGAAAAAAGGAAAAGCTGAATTTCTTCCGTTTGGCAAGGTCTCTGACACATTAGGAGGAAAAGCTCATGTGCAGAGATAACAAAACCAATACCAAAAAGGATTTCTATGACTCTCCTGGAACTGGATGGAGCACAAGTATGGGGCTGAACCAAACGATTCTCCCTGTGCTGCACTGGCCCAGGGGCAAACAGCTGAACAAACACAATAAGCTGGAGAAAAGGAGGAGTGGACAGCCCCCACTAAAGCAGCAGCTCAGCAGAGCCTCTTCCCAAGCCCTGCAGCTCACATCCCCAAGGAGAACCCCCTGCTCCCATAGTCACCTGGCTGGCTGGACTCCCACCAACATCAGCACCCGGAGAGCAATCCTGCGGTGTAAATTCCACTCCTCAATGGCCGAGGCCATGATTAAACCACTGAGGAACAGGAAATTGGTGTCTAAAAAGTATTGTGGGCAAACTTTGTTAGATGGGAGGATCCCCAGGAAGGGAAAGAGGACGATGGGCAGCAGAGCTGTCACAGCCAAGGGCAGGGCCTCGGTGCACCAGTACAGGGCCATCAGCAGGATCACATAGAGACATCTTCCTTCCTGCAAAAAGAGGAGAGGAAAAGTGAGATGTGGCATTATAGAGACATCTTGTCACTTGGCGACACTTAAAGAAGGAAAATGCTCCAGTTACTCCCTTAAGGATACAGTACTTCTCCCAAATAATTTCCATCAAGTACAACATCTTCCCCCCTACATTGTGTAAGGGGTTCAGGACTGATATGAGACCACAGCAAAACCAAAATCCTCCTTGATTTGATGATCTTCTCACGTGCTTGCAGGCATCAACCAAGGAATCTTTGGAGACCAGGAGCTGTCCCACAACAACTGCTGCTAACATGCTCAGGTGTCTGGCCCATTTGATGTTTGTGCTTTCCCTCCAATTTCCACAGACCACGCTCTGCACAGCTATGCAAAAACAGCCTCGGGAGATGCACGCTCCCCACTTTTGCAATAGGCAGCACTCAGAAAGGTTTCTTTTCTTGGATCAGAGTCTCCCAAGAGATTTATGAGAACCCATTCCATGGCAACTGATCCCAGCCCCTACGGAAATCAGTAAATCAAGGACCCGGTGTCACAGCACTTCCGCATCGCCCGGCATCACCCTGGCCTTGGCCAAGGCTGGCAGAAACCCAGTGCCATCCCTCCACCCAGGAGGCACAAACCAGACCAAAGCCATTTGTCACAACAGCCAGGGCCAGGACAATGAGCAGTGGAAGGAAGTCAGGAGAGCAGCCCCGAGCCCGGGATGGGGGAGCCCAGCACAGAGCTGGGCCCGGGCACGGCAGGGCTGAACAGGGACATTGTCAGCAAGCACAGGCAGGGTGCCCACAGCACTATAAATAACTGCTGAGAATCACTTGGAAGCCACAGAACTATTTATTTTATCACTTTTCCAGCTTGTTGAGCAGGTTGAATTGCTACTCAAAGGCACTGTGTCCCTCTGCTGGGACCTTCCTCCCCTGGATTGAGTCTGGGCTTCTGAGGGGGAGATGATGGCTCTGCTCCCTGCCAGGGCTGGGAACAGCGAGGGCTGGGGAGATCCATTTTGGGGATAATGTGGTCTCAGCCCCATCATTTGAGGGTTCAACCAGGCATCAAAGCAGGTACATCACAGCCACCACCTGCCTGTTCACCTACGAACAATTTGCTGCAGGCCTGGGCTGAAAGAGGTCAAAACCAACATGGATTTATGTTTAGTACATCTGCAAGTCAGGGTTTGAAAGGTGGACAAAATGATAGAATTTCTGATTTTCTTTTATTCACAAGGGGTCCTGCTAGCAAGGCCCCAGCACTTCAGTGTTCGTGGAAACATGAGCACAGCAGAAGTGAGTGTGACTTATTTTTCATACATTAATTGTAGCGGGGTCAATGCCTCGCATGAAGTGCCCAAGACCTGGATTTAAAGATCACTTTCAGACCTAATTTTAGGTGCCAGTAAAATGACATATGAGAGTGTATGAAGCAAAACCCTCAGGCTCAGCTCAGCCCTGGCACCTGGCAGCTCTCCTGGGCTCCCCGTGCTTCATTTCCCCCAAACCAGCAGGACCAGAGCAGCAAACCTGGCAGTGTGAAACTTTACAAAAATAAAGAATCATGTTTTGAAGTGTTTGCCACTAGATTAGTAATTTAATTCCTGTGCCAACTGATAATTCCTCTTTACTGTGGTTCTTTTTATACACCAAACAAATAGCTTTGTTCTCATTAAGTTCTTTTCCATTTGATTTCCAAAGCCATATGGATAATTTTTTCTCCCACTGGCAAAATATTCTTCAGTTTCCTGCAAGGAAAGTTGCAGCAATGTCAACTTCAAATTAAAGACACTTTAGCTCTTACAGGAGTAGAGCAACTGAAAACATTTAACAATGATACAAGAGCATATCAGTGAAGGCTTTTATTGACTTTACAAAATAGATGATGTACAATTTAGAAAACTAATTATAAATAATGGATATTTATTCTCCAGTGTATGGAAAATGTTGTAGAAAACACTGCAATGAGACACAGCATCAATTTAATAACTCCTCTTCACTGCAAGATCAAAAGCCAAGGGGTAAAAATGAAACAAGGCAGAAAGAACTGCTATGTGAAAGGCTTCCCTGAGTTTTTGAAGCCTACATGGATCAACAGGAAATCACTTGAAAGCAGTAGTGCTGTTTATCCAATTTATTCCACCTTAAAAGAGGACAAATTGCAGCTATATTGAAAAGGTTTTTGAGATAGGACCACCATTGAACAAAAAAGGAACAAGACCAATCCACAATAACTTCAATTTCAACCTAGCATTCCCCAGAATGAAAAAAAAATCATCAATAAAATGGAACCAAACTCTATATGAAATGGAAAGCTTTTTGATTTCAAGATATTTTGCAAATGTTAATTAATTGATGTCTCCAGTGTTTGGTATGTTTGGTTAGTACACAAACAATAAATGCTAACAAATGTCAGGAGAATGGTCCTTTAGGGATTTGGCCAAGGGTGCCCCTGGACAGGGTGAGCTGAGCTCGCTGCTCTGTGTGGCACCATCACCTCCACATGATTTTTATCCTTCCATCCCTTGGCTGCATCCTTGTCAAGGCTCCTTCTACTTCTTGTATCTCCCTGCAGCTTTGTATTTATATTTTCAACAGAATTCTACCAAAGTTCATGGTGGCACATATGAACTTTAAAATGGATCTTGTGATCAGGTTAATTTTATAGCTATTTAATGATTTCCAGGAAAGCACTTGTGGCTCTGGACTGCAGCATCTCTTCTTCCTGTTGCTCAAGAGCCTTGGGATCGACCTCTGCCCCTCCAGACAGAGATCCTGTCTTTGCTACACTCAAAGCACTGGGGATTTTCCACCCTGGGGCACCTGCTGAGCTGTGGCAGAGGAAGCCAAGCCACGAGGTTGTCTCCCGTGGGCAGGAGACCTGGCGGTGTCTGGGAAGGGCAGATGAGGTGCCCCAGGGAAAGGAGGCTCTGGCAGGGAATGTGGGTCAGGTAAGGAGAGCTGGCTCCCCAGGCACAGCACTGAGACACAGGCACAGCCACCAGTGCCCACTGCCAGCCTGAAAGGGACACCAGGACCCTCAGCTGGACCTTGTTCCCCATCAGACCCAGCACCCACAGCTTCCCCACCCAGCAGACTCAGCGCTCAAAGCAGCTCTACTTTGGCATTGCCAAAATTTGGGTTTTCTCCATCAACCCCTGAATGCTGCATGGTCATCACAGCCCCATCAGCCCACACAGGCTCCCCCACCACCCTATAACCTGGTAAAAGAGTGGCAGACAGGACCTAGATACCAATACCAAGAAAGATTTTGGCTGAATTGGAGCCCTTCTGTCCCTCTGCTATCACAAAGAAACATCCTACCTGTGATGTACAGAACTACCTGGAGCAGGAAGGTGCTGAGTGCTCCCATGTCACAGCTGTAACTGTGCTACCAGCCCTACTGCCTGTTCTCCAGCAGGATGGATCTGTGAATCTGATTTCTACTAACCCAGCTCCTCAAGCATTATGTAATCTGGACTCAACCCAAGCCCTGTTTAGCAGCCTCCCTGCCAGTGGAGTCGTTTTGCTCCCACTGGCTATTTGCAGAGTGGCTAGAAAGGGGCCATTAACACAGGGCTACAAAGCTGCAAGAGCTTCAGGGCATCTATTTTCCTCTGCTAAAATGACATAAAGCTTATTAAACACTTATAGTTAAACTTCTTGAGGTATTTTGTAGTTGGCAAAAATAATCTGTTTTAAAATGAGACAGCTAAAGCTCAGATGAAGTTGGCAAATTGAGTGTGTTGGCAAAAAGTCACCAACTCAACAAAGAGCAGCCTGGTAGATTCTTCACTGCTCGTCAACTTTCACTCATCCCATACACACAAATACCACATTAACCACCTTGGCTGTGGGTAGCCAGTCATGTAGCTGTGTTGAGCTAATTACATATTATGATCTCCCACCTTTATTTTTTTTAATACTTCGCAAGGGAGGTTACAGATCAGCCTGGCTGACCTGATGCTGTGGTCAGCATCCCTGGTGACCTCCATCTGTACTGAGGCTTGTAGAAATACACCCACTTAATTGGTACAGAACAAATTCTTCAGGCAGCTCTTGCAAAATTATTGTATAGAAGTTGTCAGTATGTGTAGATTTTAAAGTAAACAGGGTTAGATGTATGAAATGTTAAATTTCTGTTTAGTTATTATCACAGTAAAGATATTTATTATCAGTCAATTTCTTTCTGTAGGATTGCGCTATGAGAACTTGGCTCAGTATAGAACAAAAATGCTTCACTGAATGTGGCTTTTTCTTCAGTGTCCATCTGGCAACAGATTACAACATTTGTGTTCATCACCCTCAACTCCCTGCCCAGGAATTTCTTCCTCATCTCTTTTCATAGGACCAGAGAAACAAGTGGTTTGGAAAAGACCTTTACTATAATAGAGTCAATCATTGGAGACACAGACAGGAATCAGGCAGACATGTTTTATATGCAGTCATAGTTTCCAATTATATTAACTCTTGTCAATAAAGACTTCCCTCTCCCAAAACCCAAGAATTGCTGCTTTCACATCCTCCCAGTGCCAGCTTGCTCTTTGGCAGGCTGGCCCTCTCTGCACTGAAGCTCACAGAGGATGTGGTAAAATGTAGTCACTGCACTTTCAGCTATCCCACTCTTTCCCCACTGAAGTTCTTTCTCTCATCTTTTACTGACCATTGCTTCCCTGACCTTCCCAAATCACCACTGACAAACACTGCAGAGATGGACTTTGTGTGTGAAATTTAAAACCAGGTTACAATCACTTACTTCTCCTGCCAGGCTGCTCTCTAGGCTCTCCCTGCCTGTCCATGCTCCTGCTGTGCTCTCCAGCCAGGATCCAGCTCCCCTCCAGCATGCAGGACAACCCACTCCCATCCCCTTTGTCTACATTTGCATCACCCCTATGCCCACAAAGAGCCCTTCATGCTCTTTGCTTTCCAGTGCAAGCAGTGCAATTTTTCCTCTGGAAGATCTTAAAGTCTCCTTGTTCTAACCAGGAGGACCCATCACATCCAAGTTAATTTTAAATTGCTCTATGGCCACCGAGGAAGTCAAGTCTGTTTTCTGAAGGCACTGGGCCCTATTTGCCTGCTCAGAGCTCCTTTTAGCAGACTTGGCTGCCTCAGCTGTTACCAGGCCAAGAGGCTGTAGACATTGAGTCCATTAGAAGCTGTTGGAACAAGCTCTTTGCACAGCTCATTAAAAGTGCCCCCATGGCCCTTCCAGCAGAACAGTTCCTCCAGCCCCACCTGCCCTGCCCCAGCTCTTTGCAATCATTCACAGCCCTCTGAGCAGGGGGATTGCAGGCACTTCCACTCACAGGACAAATATTCAGCCATTTCAGCAGCAGCCAGAGCGAGAGGTGACACAGAGACCCTTGTGCAGAGAGCTGGCTCCTGGGAAGTGGCTCCACACAGGGCATTTCCTTCTGCTGCCTGATGTGATGGACACAAACCACTGTTCTGGACACAGCCTGGGGAGCACAGCCTGAGGTCTCAGCAAACACACCCACAAAGCAGAAATTTCATTTATCTATTAAGCAGAAAGGAGGCTGTAGACAAAACCATTTACACCAGTCTCCCTCTACACAACCACCATCTACAGAGGCCATCAATAAAAAACAAGGGCAGTTAACATAGCAGCAGTGCCAGCCCTGTCACCATCCCTCTGTGAAGGCACTCACACAGGGAATCCAGAGAAAAACCACTGCAGAGTGACAGCTGGTAAGAGCTCTAATCACAGCTTGAAGATGTGGATGCTGGAGTCCATCACCAGTAAGCAAGAGCAGACCTGATGGATGATTTTTCTTTTTTGTGTTTCCAGGGGGATGTTACTTAATTGTAGGTTTCCCTGGAAAACACACTGCACCCACAGCACAGGATATCACTCGGAAAGGACACACTAATCCAAGGAACCACAGTCTGTTGTGTTCTCTTCAGCTTTAAGTCATGAGTTCTTGGTCTCCAGATCCAAGTGAAATGCTGCCCTTGAAATCAAAGCTGAGGTGGCTTCTTATGGTGGAAATCCCTCAGGAGATTAAAAATTCTGAGTGTGAGAACAGATTTTTAACTTTGACAGAGCAGGAAATCACTGCAGAGGTGCCTGTAAGATACATTCTCACAAGGGAAGGCTCATCCTGAGACCAGCAGAGGCTGGTCCTCAATGCTTCTTCTCTCCTACCAGTTTCTGTTGCACCATGCCAGGCAGCATTCTGACCATCCCAGCAGGAGCACAGGGTTCTCCAGCTTGTCCAACACCCTCATGTTTCAGATGTGCAAGCACCTGGCAGCATCACGGCTGTTACAGTGACTGCACATCACGCAGGAGTTCCTCCTGCCCCAGCCTGCTGTCCCTGGATGCCCTGCCTGGGACAGGCTCCCAGGAACTCCAGCAGCAGCCCAGTCAGTTGAGTTCTTGCTGAGCACCTGCAGCAGCTCTCACGACCCAGGAGAGCCGAGGCTGGGCTGGAGTCCCGTGGCAGGGCAGACCACTGACCTCGGTGCAGCCATCACATGCCAGGACAACTTCCACACTCTGCCACCCCTGATCCCCTGCCTGCTGACCCCTCGCCTGTTCCTCCCCCCTGCTGTTTTCACAGTGTGGTTAAAAGCATAACCTGCTCCTTCTTCTCCCACAGCCCCTCGCACCTTGGGCTGCAGACAGGGGGTCAGGCAAGCTCCAGACGTCAGAACTTAATCCCCTGTTGATGCAACAGCAAGTTTCTTTTCTTGTTGAACAAGTGAGAGAGTTTAGTGTTGAAACCCTGGATGAATCATTGACCCTTGAGCATGAACAGATACAACTGTGTACAGGAGTTAGCAGCTACAGGTTCCTCCCTGTGCCAAACCTTGGGAGAACTTGGGGAAGCTTCAAGCAGTTTGGACTTGCTTGAAATGCTCACTCATGTGAGCATCCAGGTTTTGACAGGTACCAGCCAGTGCCACTGTTACCACCTGAGATGCTTTAAAGCCCATGGAGGATGAAGAACAGACCCCAAGGAGAGCAGCAGAGCAGCCAGCTCTGCCAGGGTCTCCTTCCATTACCACAGCTGTATCCCTGCTTCGCCGCCCGCTCAGCTGCAAACATTTCCATTTTCCCAATACCATTTTTTCTTCAATAAAGCAGCATTGATCAGACCACCCTGTTCATGAGGTCGTCCATGGACTGCACCCTGGAGTGGACTACGAGCTCACTGGAGGAGCTGAGCGGAACTGAGCAGCACCGTTACACCACATAGAGATTTTTTAGTTCTGTACACATACAGAAACCTCTTTCCTGAACATCCAAATCCTTGTACAGCCTGTGTGACACTACACATTTCTACCAGCACACAGAGCACCTAGATCAAGGCCCTTCCTACAGCGCTGGGCTCATCTGTGATTTGGTCTCACAATTAACCCTGCGCAGACCAGACATGAACTTGCACTTGGCATACAGTGCATCTCCTCCCTCTCTAATCCTATCTCACAATTTTAGCAAGTTCTAAAGTCAAACAAGATACTATTAAAGACACTTGAAGTCATTTGTTCAGCTATTGAAAATTAATGTAGAAATGTAACTATTCAGTTATGAATCCGCAAGGGAATTTAGTACCTGTTGTTCAATGTATTTTCTGCTCCTTGAGGCAGACATTCAACAGAGTCCTAGTCATAACTCAGCCAATAATATAAAACAAAACAAAAAAAAAAAAAAACCCACAAGTGACATTAAATCCAAATAAATGTCTCTTTTAATATATGGTGTCCCTAAATAAAGCAATGGTCAATCTATATTATTTTTTAATTTAAGAGGTGTGTTTTATATCTCAAAGGAGAAGGTTTCACCTGACAAACACTGAACAGGCAGAACTAAGTACCAACTTTGTGTCCTTACAGCACCTAAACTGTTCTATACTTACTACATACTGATCATTACTTATTTTCTGATGTAAAAAAAAAGTCATTATCAAATGGATCTGAGTCAGAACCTGAGGGTGTAATCCTGCTCACACTGAAGTCAACGGTGCAAAATTCCACAGTGTCTTCACCGCCCTGTGGACTTCCACCCAAGGCTCAGAGGTTCCTGGTGCACAAGAGCTGTGCAAAAAAATCCTCCAGCCCCCAAAGTCTTGCCGCGGATTGCTTTATGTGCAGCTCATCACATGCTAAAGCACAAACCTTAGGAGGAGACGGGTTTCCACATTTACAAAGCACCACTTATCTTACTCGCAAAGCCTTTTCAGAATGGGCACCGCAGGTCCCGCTGAGAGCCGCACCGCGGTGCGGCGGCACTCGGGGACCCCCGGCACCCCCAGCCCTGCAGCACAAACAGCAGCGCAGCTCCGCGGGTCCCTGTCCCACCACTCCCATCGCTAAGGGCACGGGCCAGCCGTGCCAGGCAGACCCTCAGCACCGGCACTTACCTTCTACCCCAGCTCTGCAAAGCCCTGCCCTGGGTGGTGCTGGTCTTGCCTCAGCGTCCCCAGATGCCATTTGGGCGCTACTAATAAAAACTATACGGCACTTGGGTATCAGCAAGAAGCACTGATCATTGCCACTGAGCTTGAGCTGATACGATCCTCCCACCTCCCAATGTCTATATAAGAAACACTAAAGATAATTCCCGTTATCTATCCCTTCTTCCCCCTATAAACCCGACATGGCCGCAGGACGCCCGCTCCATTCGCACTTTATGTTGTTGCAAAAGTGTGGCGAGCTGTGCAGCTCTGCTGCGTGGTCAAACGCTGGCAGGCAGCGGGGTGACCCTCTCGAGAGCCGAGGGCGGCTGCTGCTGAGGCGAGCGGCGGCGCGGAGCGCCCCGGCTGCGCGGCCGGCCCGCGTCCCGCAGCTCCAGGGTGGAACTCCGCTCCACGCACCCGGAGCTCCCGGCGCAGCGTCCCCGCTCCGTGCCCCGCTCCGTGCCCCGCTCCGTGCCCCGCTCCGTGCCCCGCTCCGTGCCCCCGGCCCTCGTCCCGCAGCGGGGGTGCCCCCCCGGGGTCCCTCGGCGGTACCTTGGCGGGGAGGCTGAGCAGGACGGGCACCAGCGCCAGCGGCGCGCACAGCAGCACCACGAACCTCCGCACGCTCCACGCCTTCTTCACCAGCGCCCCCAGCGCCGCCATCCCGCGCCCATCGCCGCATCCACCGCCGCGCTCCCGCTTTATCCCCCGGGAACGGCCCTCCCGGTAGGCGGGACCCCCCGGAACCCCCCCGGGAACCCCCCGCCCTTCGCCGCCCCGCCGCGCCCACCGGGAGGGGCCCCGCACCGCCCCACGGCACTGCGCCCCGCTATACCGCCTCTCACCCCCAAACCCGCCCTTTAGACGGCCCCTGTATCCCCCTCCTTTCTCCCATCTCACCATTTCCCACCCTTTCTTCTTTTCCTTTTTTTTCCCCCTTGTTAAAAATAAGCAGACACAACCAAACAAAAGGTCAGCGGTGCAGAGCGGGATAGAGCCATGGGAAATAGCAGAAAAGCAAGAGGAAAAGTCTTGGCTCACAGAAGTGTGAGCCCCAGCAAGCAAGCGACGAGCCGTGACTCTACCCTGGGTGTCCTATCGGGCTGGACCTTAGGGATGCTTCATGAGTCACAAAGAAAACACAGAAGCTGCCCAATTTGAACACCGAGGGTGGATTTTCTTGCCAGCTCTGCCCTGTATCGGGGCCATCAGAAAGAAGATGGGGGAGTATGTGGGGCAGGACAGGATCCCCTCTCCTGACCGCAGTGAATCTCAGCAAGTGCTGCGGAGGCTGCCGGTCTCGTCTGAGCACAGTGAGAGGCTAACAGCCCAGGAAACCGAGCTGCTCCACTATCAAGATGAGCAAGAGATCAAAGCCAAGGTAGCTGCTTTTTGCACCGCCTGGGTTCTTGCAATTGAAGGCCAAACAAAGCTGAGTGTGGGGAGAAAAATGGGAAAGCAAAGTAACACCCTTAGTACTTCACGAGCATCCTCTGAGTGCCATGTATTGACAGATGTATAAAACTCACATTCAGCAGAGAAACCTCTCCATTTCACAATTAATCAGATATCTGGAGAGTTACTTCCCTTTGATACCATTTCCTAGATCATCAAAGAAGTTGGAGTCAAATGCATTGGATTAAAAAGCAGATGTGAGAAAGCCTCATCCCCCTTATACAAACCATTAATCACTAGCACACAGGGAACAAGAAATTAGAATGTGGAGGAACAATCAGCAATAGAGACAGGACTGTGTGCCCATCTGGAGGATGCTGCTCCTGGTCTGGATCCACCTCCTCCGTTCCCCTCCCTCTTCTTAACAGCATCTATGTAATTTTGCACAAATAGTAACAAATCGGTTAATGCCCACAGCCATCCCGGGCCGAGGCTAAAGGGTGGCGACATCACCGCTGCGGCTCTTTTCAAACAGCAGAACGGACACAAAAGCTTTTGCCGGGCACTGCCGGGGGCCGCTGGCAACGCGAGGATCCGGCATCCGCCTGGCGCCCGGCCCCGCGGCTGCCCAGCCCCGCTGGCAGCAGCACCTTCTCTCGGGGCCCAGGAGAGAGCACAGAGCTGGCCGAGAGAAATCCCTGAGGATTTTTATCTTGCTGTCCTTTAACTGCTCAGCAACCTGAATACAAAATCACCATGGCCAAAGGAAATGATTAGGAGGTTGCTGTGCTGCCTCGATGCTACAGCGGGCTGTGGGAGCAGAAGCTGCTTCATCACTCGGGTAGTGGTGCATGATGGAGAGGATGGACAGAGGGATGACTGAAAGCAAAATTCACGCCAGTAAAACTATGCAACTGCTTAAAACAGGTTCAGCTTACCCAAAATACCCATCAGCCAGAGACTGGGAGCCCGTGTTTCAGTTCCACATGCCGGACCAAAGGAGCTCTACAAAACTTCTCTCAAAATCAACCTTGAAAGTTAAAAAAAGCTTCAAAACAATAACAACGGGCACAGTTTGTTCTTTCTCTTACAAGGATACACATTTCTGGCAGTGTGCAGGGTGAGGGGACGGGCAGCACGATCCCCTGCAAGTCGTGGCTCACGCTGGGACAGTCCCATCCCCAACCCCAGCCGGCCCCTGTCGGCTCAGCAGGGCAGATGCTGGCTCAGCCTTCAGAGCTTCCCAGCAGGGGCTACATGCTGGTTCTCCCGGCCTTCGGCTGGGAATTAACGTTTAATTAGTTTGGTTTTTTGTAAACTCCATCTTTATCACCCTCATTTCCAGTGCCAACAGCAGCTGCAGCTGCCCTGCCTGTGCTTTCCTTGCCATCACTGGGGTCAGACCACTCCCAGGCTATTACTTAAAGTAAGTTTATTTTATTGCCAAGAGAAAGGTGCTGTGAAGTGCCCAAAGGGACCTCTGTGGGACACAGCTTGTGCTTGGGCTACGGAGGGGCTTTATTTATCTGTAGTGACCCTGGGTTACAAATGAGCTTTTATGCTTTTATTGCACTAACTTGGTTTTCTATCAGCAGTGATGAGAGAAGAGGCTTGCAAACGGTTGTCAGTGTTCTGCATCTTGCAAAACTGGAAAATATCGATTTCCTGGAGACATCAAGGCCTAGACTATAAAAAAGTTCTCTGAAAAAAGCTACAACATATATCTTGTATGCATAGTTTTTACACATACACAGAGTAACTGCTATCACAGAGCAGCCATTGTCCAGAAATGGCAACAGCATTCCCAGATTATTCAACATTGTCTCCATCCCTGTTCCTTACTTGTACGGGTTTTTTTTTTTTTTTTATGTTTCTTTTTCCTCTTAGTGCTCTTCTAGGTCTCCAACTCCTATTTATCTCGAAAAATGCCCTTTAGTTCAGTTCTGCCCTCATGGCATCAGTGGGCAAAACAGAACTTGGTCTTATTGCCAAGCTAAAGTCAGGCTGGTTGCCAAGAGCTCCCCACTCCCACCACAGAAACCACTGATGATGTCAGATATCAAAATAAACAGAAAAGGCAACTCCATCAGTAATCAGCAAGTCCCTCAGAAGTACTATACTGCACTTTCTGCTGATAAAATTCCTCTATTTCCATTTCATTTGTCTTTCCATCTTTCCTTTCATTCCTCTTTCCACATCTTATCTGCACCTCCTTGTATTCATGGTATTTTAGAGTGACATCCAGGTGTAGAGCCAGGTCAAGCAGGTGCTGGGAAGCCTCTGGAAATGAAGCAGGCCTGGAGTTGATGCCCTGAGACAACAATTCACTTTGAAAAGCAAAAATATTCAAGCAGTAGAAAGATCCAGAGTGATCAACTGTACACCCAGCACACAGCTGTAAATACATTCTGCTCAAAGGTTTTCCCTGAACATTTAGATTTTCCTGGTGCTAGTGTGGTGGCAGAGAGACCCCCAGTGGCTTCATGCACCACCAGCCACCACTTGTCACATCCCACAACCTCGGGGTCCCCCCAACAGGCAAGCAAGGAGGTTTTGGAGAAGCTGAAGGATGACACAGCCTTTGGGAGAACAGCCCCTCTGAGTAGGACAGGGCAGGACATCACCACTTCCACCACTGTGGGTTGCAAGGACTTTTTACAAAGTTAGGCCATACTCTGGAAGAATATTGGTGGCTCAAAACTGGATTTGCAGCAGATAAACTATTCAGGAAAAAAAAAACCTCAAAAAAACCAACATAGGAGTCCTATTTACCTTACAAAAATGGACATGCACTAGACATAAAGCCTGAGCATTAATAATGCTGTAAGATAATGGCAAATTATTTTAATAACAACAACAATAGTAATTCAAATGCACAGAGATGCACAGAAAGCTAACACAGCAGCATGTCAAGCTGTTCCCAGCCAACAAAAACTGGAACCTCCACCTGCCCTGTGAACCAGTCAGGGAACCAGTGGTTTTCATCCAAGGAGGTGCTGCTGCAGACACAAGTCATGCCAGAATCCTAGAGTAAGTTGGAAGGGACCCCCAGGGATCATTGAGTCCAGCTCCTGATGGACTGATTCAGCTGAGGCTGCAAGAACGTGTGGGGTGGACACGTTGCATGTCCAGAGTGTCCTTTTTGTTGGACATGAACCTGCTGAGATTTTTCCACCTTCAAACAGCAACAGTTCAGCATTCTCTACAGCAATCCATCTGACACACCAGGCGGATCAAGAGGAAATATCAACAAGCCCTAAAACAGATGTGCAGAGAGTAACAAGGAGGGGTTTATCATGCGGTGAAAAAGCAAAACATTTTGCTTTTCATCAGCAGTAATGTCCTGCTTTGTTTTGAGGCTCCATCCCAGAGCTGATTTCGGCAGAGTTCAGGAGTCCCTGCTCGAAGGCCAGTCCCGCAGCAGCTCTCCGGGAGGACTGGCCTGACCACAGGCTGCGACCCCGGCTCAGGGCACGCACCGCCCATCAAAACCTCCCGTGGATCGCCCTTGTTTCTGTTGTTTCTGCTCCGCTGTCCCGCAGGGAGAGCTGCATTTTAACAAACACCATGATAGCTGGAAACACACTTCTTCAAAGGGCTTTGCAAACAGAACTCAGTCCTGGCATCACCGGGAGACGCTGAGAGCGCTGTTTGCACAGATGGGGGACGGCGGGCAAGGCGGGTCAGGCTGCTGCCTCCTCTCCGCGGGGCGGGCATTTGGGGCTCCGATCCCTCCATAGGAGACTCGTTATCCGCATCCAGCTGCTCCCACCGTGCCACCAGATCCAGCAGAGCACCGATCCAAGCGCCCGGGTGTGCTCGGGCAGGTGCAGCACCAGCAGCTCCTCCAGCCCCGCTCCGAGCCACGAGGGGAGAGCGCCCGGAGCGCTGAAAACAAAACCCCACATCCACCCAAGGTGCCGGCGCGGCAGCCAAAGCTGTGGCTGGGCGGTGGAACCCGGGCCCCACGCCGGGGCCGGGCACTCGCCCAGGCGGCTCCTCTGGCAAGAGGTGAATGCGCGCCGGGCACGGGCAGCCCGCCGCGCTAGGACACTTGCGGGACGCGAACCGGCCACCTCCGCGCCCGCGGGCGGCGGCGCTGCGCCGGCGCCACCGCGCGGAGTGAGGCTGGGGCGGCCGAGGCGCCTGGTGGTTCTCGGCACCGCCCCGGCCCCTCGGCTCGGGCTGCGCTGCTCCAAGAGGGCAGAGAAAAGCCTTCCTCCCTCCTGCCCCGCCTGGCACAGCTGCTCCTCACAGCTCCCTTCTCTCCCGCTGCTCCAAGAGGGCAGAGAAAACCCTTCCTCCCTCCTGCCCTGCCTGGCACAGCAGCTCCTCACAGCTCCCTTCTCTCCCTCTGCTCCAGGAGGGCAGAGAAAAGCCTTCTTCCCTCCTGCCCTGCCTGGCACAGCAGCTCCTCACAGCTCCCTTCTCTCCTCCTGCTCCAAGAGGGCAGAGAAAAGCCTTCTTCCCTCCTGCCCTGCCTGCCACAGCAGCTCCACAGCTCCCTTCTCTCCCCGCTGATCCCTACAGGACGTGGTTGTGCAGTGGAGAGGGACCCCACTCTTTTACAAGCAGTTTCAGAGCACAAGCAGTGCACAGGAGAACAGAGAATCTTCCTGACGGATAAAGATTGCCCAGCACAGCAAATCGCTCAGCAAGTTCACTGTTTCTTTCTATCATTACCTGCAGGCAATGATGCTCCCACATTCACCCAGCTCACATCCCAACCTCCTCACAAAGCTGATAATCTTCTAACCCACCCACGGTGGCAAGATTTTCCTCTAGCACACTTTCCATTCACACAATTAAATACAGTAAGCCAGAAAATCAAAGTAATATAGAGAAAACATTACAACAAAAGACAATTCCCACCTGCCTCTGCCAACTGCCTACCTGGGGAGGCAATGGCAATACCAGCAGTTGCCCTTGTAAAACTCCAAAAGAGGAAATTTATAACAGACTTTTTGCTTAAATAGAAGTTTCTCAGTAGAAAACTACTCTGGATTAACAAATTTTATATTTTCTCCAGACAGTACTATTAACTGAGAGTGAAAAAATCCAATTTACTACCAGAAGAAAATAAAACTGGTCTATGTTTAATGTGGTATTTCAGCATTGCTCATGTTCCAGAATGCAGTTCTGGCAATTTTCAGGATGTGTTCAGTCATTTATAACAGATTTAAACCCTTTGTTGAAAAGTCTTCTGAGAAAAACAACACACTTGTTTTTCTCAGTTACCTTTTGTAGATGCTGTTTTGTAGCCTCTGAAGTAAGAGCCTCCCATAAATTTATGGTCTAGAGGCCAAGAAAGATTGCTCTGAATGATTCTAACCACACAAAGATGAGTAGAATGACACTGTAAACTACTTTGTATTAGAAATATTTCACTTCTAGGACAGAAATGACTTCTAACTGTTTCTCTCTTGGCTGTGCCCCAATCTCACAATTACTATGGTTACTTGATGACACTTAGAACTCTTAGAAGTTTATTTATTTGAAGACACAGTTATCAAAATAGTGATCTGTGAAGTAAAACCAACTAGAAATATAAATAACCCTCTTTGCAAAACCTACTATTTCTCTATCCCTAACCCCACTCTCTTCTAGCCAATCATGGATCTCTTCCTTCCCCTTAGCCGAACCTCATCCAGCTTTTTGATCACAGGACCAGATTTTTTAGACGTGGCTGCATAGGTCTTTAGCAGAGCTTGGAACATCGTTTCCGTATCTGGATGAGTGCTAATGAAGGCTTTCTCCAGAACATACAAATCAACTCCTTTATCTTCTGGAAGACCTGAAATAAAACTGAGTCCAAAGTCTATCAACACCAAGTCCAGCTTCTCCGTGGGTGGCCGCAGGAGGAGATTGGCAGTTGTAAGATCCCCATGGATAATATCCTCATCGTGCATCCTTGCTAACAGCTCACCCATCTTCTCTGCTAACTTATGGAGGTCACTGGTATCATTTCCACTCTTTTGTACAGAATAAATATGATCCTGAACAGTAATTGAGTCTACAATATCTTCAAGATAGATGGAGTTGGTGACATAATCCACAAAGTAGACCACTGGAGCTGGAATCCCTGTTTAAAAGAACAAATCAAATACCAGCTGTTAATTTACATGATTCCCAGCTTTATTTTAATAAATAAATAAATAAATAAAGCCAATAAAAGCTTTAAACAGAAATGCCAGCTGAGATCACACCGAGCCGCTGATGATGCACACCTTGGAATAGTCCAACTCTTAATCCAAGCCATCTGCACAGCCCCGCAGCCTTACAGGGACCTGGCAGCTCAAACCCCCTGACAGCCCAGCCCCTCCTGGGGGAGCCTCCGGGACACACCGAGGGCACCTTGAGCTCCAGGGGCGCTCTGAAAGAGCAGAGCGTGTCACCCCGGGCTCAGCAGTCCCCGCATCCTTCAGGATGGCGCCGAGGGCCTGAGATCTGCTCTGAGCGACGTGAGGAGCCGGCGTGGTGGGGCTGCCACCGCCCTGGGGTGTGTCTGTCCGTGTGTCCTGCCGGGGCTGCCCGCTCACCCCGCCCCGGGCTGTGCGTGTGTGTCTGTCTGTCCGTACTGCCGGGCAGCCCCGGCCCGCCCGGCCCCGTGCCCACCTGCCCGCCGGCACCGCAGCAGGGACCGCGCCTCCTGCACCATGCGCCGCCGGCTCAGCCGCTCCTCCAGCGCGGGGTGGCGGTACCGCTTCGGGACGCGGAGCTTGGCCACCGCCGGCCGCCCCAGCAGCAGCCCGCGGTACACGTGCGCCTCGGCGCCCTGCTGCACCAGCCGCAGCCCCGGCAGCGCCGGCGGCGCCGGCGCCTCCTCCGCCACCATGGCATCGCCCGCCCCGCCCTCGGCACCGTCCACGGCGGGGCCCGCGGCCCCCAGCTCGGCCGCGGCGGGCCCCACGTCGCCCATCGCAGGGCCCGCGGCGCCGGCCATGACCGAACGCGCTCCGCCCGCCTCCGCCTGCGCCGCCGCCATCACCGCGACACGCACGGCGCACGCGCGGGGCGTCTGCTCGGCAATGCTCGGTAATCTCCGGCCATGCTCGGCCACGCTCGGTGCTCCGTGACGGAAAGCGACGAACTGCCGAAGCGCCTGCTCGGCAATGCTCGGTAATCTCCGGCCATGCTCGGCCACGCTCGGTTAGCCGTGACGGAAAGCGACGAACTGCCGAAGCGCCTGCTCGGCAATGCTCGGTAATCTCCGGCCATGCTCGGCCGCGCTCGGTTGTGACGGAAAGCGACGAACTGCCGAGCGCCGCGCGGCCGCAGCGCTCCGCCGCCCCCGCCATGACGAGCCCTGCCCCGCTCTGCTCCGGGCTGCTCCTTCCAAACCCCTCCCGGTGCTTCCCCCCGGGAATCCTGCTGCCCTCTGCCGTGCCGGGCGATACTGGGTAACTGCAGCACGGTGGGACTTGTTCCCGAGCATCCCCGAGCCGCCGCGCCCTCCCGTGGGTTTGCCGGCGCAAGAGCGAGACGTGCAGCTGGCCCAAGGCTCGCAAGGGAGATGTGGGGTGCGTTTCTTCCCGAGCTGGCAAGTGGGAGCTCCTGGTTCCCCCCAGGTTTTCCCAGCATCACCGAGGAACCCCTCTCCGGGGCATCCATCATCCCTGGGACACCACGGCCACGGCGTCACCCCCACCTTGGAGCATCACCGTGGGGACTCCATCTCTGGGACATCACCACCAGCACGGTCCATCAGTGGCTCTTGCTCTTTCGTGTGCCAGAAGCCTCTGCTAGAGCCTGTGCAGACCCACTGCAGCTGCCCAGCTGGCGGCTGGGAAGGAGAAGGTTTGCCTGTAAGCTGTGGGGCATCAGCAGGCTGCAGCAGGGCGTGCTGTCCCCTCGGGTCCCCACGCTGGGAACCACCAAAGCTTCTGCCCAGGTCTGCCATGGGCCACTCATGCCGTGAGTGGGCTGACTCTCCCTTCCTCCAGCAGCCAAGTCCCACATTGCCATCTTATTAAGAGATGGATAGACCTCATTATCCTCATAAACCTCATTGGAGCAGTGCTTGGGGTTTTATGGCACCCTGAAAACCCACTGCCCCACTGGGTGATCTGCGCATGCTGCAAATATGTTCCTCAGAAGATACGAGGGAATCCAGCCCAGTCCATGTCAATATGTTTTCAACTGTTGCTTTTGGAGGTGCCACAAGTCCATTTTGTCTTTGTTTTCTCACCCACAGCATTTGTTTCCTTTTCAGAACATTTATATTTTATTAACACATTCCACACAGTTTACATGTCCATTGCACAGTGGGATCATGCCTGCCAAATATTTATCTTGCTTCAGTGACAACTTTTAAACAACCTTCCCAAGTTTTCAATGATACAGATAATCCATCCTGCAATTCTGCCCACCCATAGCACCCTGCTGCAGCTGTGGCAGGGCTGCAAGAGCCCAACAGCTTGCCCAGGGAATGGGGTGAATTCTCTGGCTGGAATTTGCAAATGCCTCAAACACTGAAATAAAGCAGGTTTTCCCCGTGTTGTGAATAGATTTTATCAGAGTATCTGTGCAGATATCCCCACAGACACACATATACAACCTATAAGCAAGTGCACACACATAGCCTTCAGTTCATTATTCTGGCAAACATTATGGTTTTCTCTCATGCTGGCTAAAAACCTCCTCCAGAGCTTTCAAAATATGAAACAAAATATTTTTGCTTTATTTTGCCCTTTATTTTATTTATTTAAATTTTATCTTCCCTGTGATTTCACTTATTCTTTTCTCTTTTAAAGCAATAAATAGTTGACATAGCCCTTGGAAACCAACTAGAGCCATTTACAATATTTATGGTATCACCTAGTATTTTTATTGTAATATTGAACCCCAGAGAACTGCTCTGAAACTGGTAAGTGGTCTCATTATGTAACTTTGTGCTCCTGGTGACAAGCATTTACAAACTCCTTTCACAAACAATGTAATTAAGTTAAAAACTACAGCCCAGCAAACCGAACTAATGGGAACCAAGGCAGGTCTCATGGGCTCCTCCCTGCTCTCCTACAGATCCCTTGCATCAGGCAGGATGCAGCCCTGGAAGCAGCTCTCCAGCCATCCCCCAGCTTATTTAGGGATGGAGGCTGCCATCCTCAGAGCTGCACAGATGGGAAAAGGGATGAATTTGACTTGTTGCAGTGTGCCATGCTGAAGGCATCCCTAAAATGTACAAGGAAACAAGATTCCTGGTGGGACCAACACTGCTGACCAGCATTGCCAGGGAACCCCTCTGGGTTAGGACATCATAAGAGAAAACATCTGCAGCCTGGCATCGGGAGGACAAACCTCTCTGGATGTAAATGAACGTGCTTGATCCCCCAAGCCCCTTCCTAAGGGTCATTCATAATAGAAGAAAATACTCTTAAGGGTGTGGTGAGGATTCCTGAACCCCACGTCTTCCTTTTTCCAGGATGGACTTCTTTCTCCTCTTGTATTCGTATTTCAATTTGTGATTTTACAGCTGAAGCTGCTCCAGCTCAGAGGTAGAAGGTAACATTTCCAGTAATCACAGGCGGGTTGTGTGGCCAAACACGGGCTGCTGTTCCTGAGGCGGAGCTCTCAGGAGCACATTCCTGTGGCCCAGCCCTGGGGATGTGCCTGTCCTGGGGATGTGCCTGTCCTGGGGATGTGCCAGCCCCGGGGATGTGCCCGTCCTGGGGATGTGCCAGCCCCGGGGATGTGCCTGTCCTGGGGATGTGCCAGCCCCGGAGATGTGCCCGTCCTGGGGATGTGCCAGACCCGGGGATGTGCCCGTCCTGGGGATGTGCCAGCCCCGGAGATGTGCCCGTCCTGGGGATGTGCCTGTCCTGGGGATGTGCCAGCCCCGGAGATGTGCCAGCCCCGGGGATGTGCCCGTCCTGGGGATGTGCCAGACCCGGGGATGTGCCAGCCCCAGGGATGTGCTGCCCGGCTGCCAGGCAGGAACACACCCCGCAAGCCCGGCAGCCAGGAGCGAGATAAGGACCGGAGGGGAAATGGCACTGCCAAGACACTGCAGAGGAGGAGGAGAAGGAGGAAGGCATCACAGGAGGAAGCAAGGACAGGAACGTGCCTGCAGGCATGAAGCATTGGTGGATCCAATCCCCCAGACCTTCTTATGTGGAGCTCAGGGACAAAGGTGCTGTGAAAAACCAAACCAAACCAAACCAAACCAAACCAAACCAAACCAAACCAAACCAAACAAACAAACAAACAATCAAAAAAACCCCACAAAAAAACCCCAACAGATTTTTACAGAAAGAATAATAAATTCTGGAATGGCCTGCCCGAGGAGGTGGTGGAATCACCATCCCTGGATGTGTTTAACAAAGCCTGGATGTGACACTGGGTGCCATGGTTTAGTTGAGGTGTTGGAACTGGGTTGGACTTGATGATCCTGAAGGTCTGTTCCAACCCAGTAATTCTGTGAATTCTGTGAATTCTTTCAGCAGGCCCAGAACACCCACTGGCTACAAAAGGTGTGATAAGAAAGCTGTACTTTAAGGACCTCAAAGAATGATTTTTGGTTTTCCCCGTAAATTATCCCTGCTGTACATCATAGCAGGCTTTTGCCCTTTTTTCCAGAGGACAATAACCCACAGCCTCTACAGTGTCAATGTGACAGCTGCATTTCTGTACACACTGATGTCATCTTTTTGTCCTCCTTTGGTAAACACACCATAAAGCTTTCCCTGTGCTCACCAAGACCTCACCTTCTTATTGTCAGTGCTAATAATATTTCTTGCCCTGCCAGAGACCAAGAAGCCTCCAGAAAATGTTCAGGTGGCAGAAAAATAAATGCTGAGTGACCATAGAGAAAAGTATATTTTCTTCTTTTTCACACTGAAATAAGTTCTGATGGAAGGAATTGTTCAGGCAAATTGAAGATCATGTAGCCAAGAGTGAGTTTGCCCTGAGGCTGATGAGGACTCTGGGTTCTCTTTGGCTCTCTGCCTGGCGTGGTTGGGAGCAATACATGGGAGACATCTCCTCCAGTTCCTAATACAGCTCACCCAAAATCCTTGGCTTAAGCTCTGGGGGCCAGAGATCATGGGCAAGATCACACTGCATCCCCTGCATCCTCCTGAGCTCCCCAAATGTGGAACATTAGCCTAGACACAGACATGTAGTGTTTCTTGTCTGCCATGAACTGGTCTCGTGTGGGTCTTGGGGAAGAGAGAAAATTGGAATAATTTCTCCCTCGGCTTATCACGAGAGCTGGTTGTGATTCCAGAGCTGTTTAAACTTCTCTAATGTGAAGTGCCAATGTTGTTGAAAAGCTCTTCCCATGAACTCCATGGGTTTCTGTTGGCTGGTGTCTGAAGCCATTCTTCACCAATTGTGTGATCCCTGCTGCAGCTGTCAGGCTGTATCAGATACAAGGTTTTAGAAAAGGTGTTATCACATCCTGTATTCCCACTGAAATTAGAGCATGTGAATGGGAAGCTTTTATTTCATCTCTAAACCAGGTACATGATTTGACACACTTTTCCTATTCTCTGGGATTTTAAGAAGAAAGAAAACCAAAACATTTGATCAACTGCAGCCAGATATCCAACAGACTAAAGCTGAAATGATCATCAAATACATGATCCAATGTGGCTCATCTCAAGCATCCCAAAACTATGAGTTGAAATAAAATGAGTTGGTACTACTGCTCTACACAGCAGAGACATGAGATGTATCCCCATACTTGGAAAAATAACAATTTTTAAATACTTCTCCCAAATTCCCTATTAAGTTAACATGGGGGATGACTGCAAAGGCTTTTTTAAAAAAAAATAATGTACTCATATGTTCTTTATTTTTCACCCAGCCTGTTAATTTTTGCCTGTCTCAGGGACACAATGGTCACTACTTCAGACTTTCCCAGGTCTGAATTCTGTACTGTTCAATTCTGTACTGGGGCAAAAAACTTTACCAGCACGGGTTCCACAGAGTGCTGTTCTGGAGGTTGTGTGGTTACAACATGCTAAATATTAAAATTCAACAAAGGTTTTTAATGCAAAATTACCTGCAGTCACATGCCAGCTCACAAAGCAGATTTGTGGTCACCTGCCCTTACCCTGGAGTGGCAATGCCTGCTGCAAGGCTCTGGAGAGGCTGTGCATGCCTTCCCACCT